AACCAGTAAATTATGCAATAAGATAGAAAATTTCAATAAAGTCTCAAAGTATTTATTTAGCCATTTTAAGTATATATGCTTTCTTTTTCCACTATTATTTTATGTAAAGTAATAGTTTTTTTTAATAATCATGGAAATACATCCTCCTTAAGCCTTTTTAAGAACTTCTATACAAAAAAAAACTTCTATACAGAGGAAATAAAACTAATATTTATGTTAAAAATACTAAACTGTTGAGTAAAGGCAATCAAATATTTTTATGAAAAAATAACTTCATGAACACACTCATACAATATTAACCAAGAATTGAAATCCCCTAATTAGTACTGTAAACATCCAACCAAAGCAAACTCTGGGCTTGCAAATGATTTTTACTTGAAAAATGGCTGTTATTAGGTTTGTAGTTGTGTTTCTACCTAGGCATAAAAAATTCAGAAAAGATTTTGCCTAATAGTCCGTATTATCTCTGGTATAAATTCAACTTATATGCAGGTATCAAATAGTCCATTACACTCGAAATGAATAGTTACATATTTCATAGACATATTACTAGCATATTAACATAATCTTGCACTCGGTGGAGAAGTTCCAGTTTTATGAAGTTTTAGGACTTTATCTAAAATTAAATCTGACAATGGTCTCTAACTAAAATTTTAAGTTGCTGTTTTAAAGGCCTATTTTCCTTCTCTTTGTACAACCAAGATAATAGATACCTGTGTTATGAATCCCTGATAAAGGAAAGCACATTTATTGAAACTGACTTGACTGTGCAGAAAAGTTTTGGAAACACCCATTCTACCAGCCTAAGTTTCTGGATGCAACCAGTGTGGTGTGAATATTCAAGGCTCACGGCAGCACTGAGGGAATGAGTTGAGAAACCTGAGTGCAGTGATTGCAGCTGGATACCCATATTAGAGTTTTGAGGAGCAATGTGTGAAATAATAGACAAGGACATGTAAAAAAAATACCAGCGGGAATGCACCAAACACACATGCTAACCTGGCTTGCCTTTAAAGCTGTGATGCCATCATTTTGGCCATCAGTTTCTTAGATTTTATACTTCAGTGGTAGAGCTCACAATTTTGCTTGTTCTAAATAAAGTAACAAGAGAATTTCCACTTACTCTTTAAGTTGTTCATATTCACTCCACCATACATGGCAATGAAAGGGATGCACCATACATGGCAATGAAAGGGATGCGTGTTTCTATAAGTTCCAAAAATATGTTCTCAGAAGTCCCACAGGGAATTCAAAAGTAGGAAGAGATAGGAGCCCCGGTTTTAGAGTAACAACAATGTCCCTGTTTTCTTTCTGCCTTAAATCTCTTCCCAAGAAGCCTTTTTGATTCACCTTGCTGAGTTTCAGCTGGTGCCACTCTGCTGGCTGCTTGTGCCAAGGAACACCTGTGGTCTTTTATGCAAACAATTCTAGGGAGAAAAAGAGGCTGTGGGTAAATATGCAGAAGGAGCTAGAGGCGCAAAAACTTGTAACTGGAATAGCCAGACTACTCTGAAGGGAATTTCATCAATGCTTGAATTCTTCTTCTGAGAAAGTCTGTGATAAGGCAACCCTTCTTCCAATGTTTTTTTTCCCCAGAAATCACAGCAACCTCTGGTGGTAAACTTGCTTTCTCATCTTGGGAGGGAAAGATAAAAGGAAGATCTTAGAAAATTCTAAATTCAATGAGATCTAGCTTAGATCTCACTCAGCGGTACCACAACCATATTTTTCTGGTTGGCTACTAGATAACTCCACATGGATATCCCAGTGGTATTGAAGTCAATGGTTCAAACCTGAAATAATTACTAGGATCATTAGTCGGGGACCCAAAAGGGAACAAATTAGTAAAAAGTCCAAGTTATCTAAAGCTGGATGGATATAAGAGAGTTTGAGTTTGGGAGTCTTTACACAGGTGTAGGTAGTTGTAGGAAAACCACAAGGGGTAATCCCATAACTCAGGAACTCAAGGCTAGTATACAGCTGAGTCATTAATGCTGCCAGTCATGCAGGGAAAGGGAAATGTTTCTGTAATCCAGAAGGAGAAGTTTATGTAGAAAAAGCCACACTGGACAAAAACAGTGACATTCTGTCCAGGAGAACAGTCCAAGGTAGGCCCTCATGGAGGAATCCAGAGGAATATCTTCCCCCATCTTTTCACCATTGGCTGAACCCAACTGGAAGCCAGAGGACAAGAGAACCCGTATTTTATCCAGGTCAGCCTCCTGGAATATATACAAGGAGGAGAAAGGTGGGAACAGATCTGAAGAAAAGTGGCATACTGCCTTTTCCCATTCCAAGTTCATCTTCCCCCTGTATGAGCCAGTTTTCTAGGTAGCACCATGGTTTACCTAAGGCACAATCAGAATCCTACTCTTAATCTCTGTTCCTGGCATGATCTTTACAATGTTATTCTCTGCAAATGTCTAATCTCAAATCCCTATCCATTCTATTTATGTCCATGCAATTCTCTCCTGTCACTGCTACTCTCCATCACTCTGATACTCCAGCCTATCATTTCTTAGTAGCATCTAGCACTTTCACAAATTACTGTCTTTATTTTTATGTTTCTCAAATTTCCTAGAGGACTCTTTTCAGAACTCTACCTCCGATGCCTAGTATAGTGACTGGTACATAGTATATGTTCACTAAATGTATGCTGAACACATGAATTAATGCAGGCCCTCAATATTTTTTAGCTTAACACTGCAGTGCACTTTTAACTGACTCCTTGACATTAGTGTTAGCCATCTTCAGTCCATCATTTACATTTCTGCTGACATGCCTCTTCTCATTCATAAATCAGAAGTCACTCCCCTTTTCGAAATTATTTAATGTCACCTTAAAGCTTTCCAAATGAAGAAGTTCATTCATTAAACAGTTTTTATTGAACATATATAAAGGGAAATCAGAGATGATTTTAGATTCCAAATTCACTCAGAATGTTTACAATTTACTAAGAGAAACAATAATAAAAAATAAATTGTAGTAAGGTATAGTAGTCTAAGATGGGGGAAGCACTGAGCAGGACTTCCTATTCCCAGAGCAGGGAAAGGCTGTGAGGACAGGCTTTCTAGAGGACAGAAGGAGGAAGATAAGGGTGGGATTCAGACCATATTCTGAAGGGGTCTGAAAGCCACATTTATAGGATTTTGACTCCTTACTCACATACTTAAGGACTTTTTTGTATCTCAGTCCTGATGTTTGTCAGTTTTCTGTCCCACATTTTCTCAATTTAGACTCCCTGTCTTGAGACAACTGACTCTTTAAAGTTCTATAATGCTGCATGTGCATTCCTGCTTCTGAAATTCTGCCCAGAAAGGCCTATTCATTCTTGCTGGCCTAAGAGACAAGATTCTATTTCTAAAGGGCATCTGTCTTACACTCTGTCCTCCCCTTTCCTGCTCAATACAGACATATTTCTAAAAGCAGCTTGACTGCTTTCCTCAGTTTTCAAGAGACAGTCTGTGTTTCCTGGACATTAGCAAGCCCATATTAAATAGCAGGGATTTGGAGATAGAAGTGCCTACATTCTCTTCATATAACTTAGGTTGCTAACAGGCTCTGGGGTGTGTAAAATTTCTTGAGTGAGATTTCTGACTCACCAAATCATTCTTCCCTGTTATCTTTTGATAAGGGATGGCTTTTTCAGTGACTTCGAGTAAGCATAGCAAATGGTAACTTCAAACTTAATTTAATATAGATGATTGAATCTGAAGCATAGTAAACAGCAATAAATATGAGACCAAACAGACAAAGTATTTGACCTTTAAATGTAAATATATTTCTATTTATTAGGATGCCTAGTTTATTGAAACATTTTTGTTCCTGTGCCATTGTAAATAATAAAACCTCATATTTACTCTTAGCAGTGGTACTAATATGATTGCAGATAGTTGAAAAGTATGTATATATCAAAAACTAAACAAACATCTTTTTCACAATTTTCTAATCACAGTGTACTCTGGTGTCAAATCAAGCCAAAAGTAACATATAGAAGCAATATAGACTATAACCATGAGAGTGTTAGTTTATTATTGCAGCAGTTCTTAGTAATTAGCATAGAAACAATGAAATTCATAAATATGTCATTTTTAAAATGCACATTGAACTTTTCAGGCAATGTGTTGCTCTATATTTTTATAGGTATGAAATGAAGACATCAAGTTAAAAAAGTGAAATTCAGCAGTATTTAAGTTACAGAAACCAAAGATCTCATTTCTGATTTTTAAGACTAATCATCTAGCCAATTATATTTAGGAACTTAAAGTCAATGCTAATGATGTAGCTAATGATTTGAAAATGGATAAGAATACAAAATAACAAATTATACTGGGTATTTCTATTAGCATTTTCCTTTTGGCAAGTCAATGGGAATTTATAAGATTGATCAGAAAAAAGAACTCCGCTAACTATAATATATTTTGATACAACTAATGGCAATTATATAGATTCAAATTTATCATTAAATCATGCAGACTGTAACTTGGGTTAAGACATTTTGCCTTCAAGGGAAACTTTAATTTTCTATCAGTGTCATAAAAGATACCACCATACGTTTTTGCTCAAATACTTAAAAAAAGAATAAATCTAATATCATGCTATTATTACTATTTCTTACATTATTATACTTAATGGTCCAATATCATTAGACCCATCTTCACATTTTCCTTTTTGAAAATTCCATATAGGATATTCTGTTGACTGGCTAAAATGACTTCTTGTAAAGAAAGTGATTATTAATGATCCGTGACTCTTTTTTTTAAATATATTTTAAAATATTTATATATTTATTTATATATTTATTTATTATTTATTTATTTATTTATTTATTTATTAGAGACACAGAGAAGGAGAGAGAGGCAGAGACACAGGCAGAGGGAGAAGCAGGCTCCCTTCAGGGAACCTGATGCGGGACTCGATCCCAGGTCTCCAGGATCCTACCCTGGGCTGAAGATGGCACTAAACCTCTGATCCACCTGGGCTGCCCTGATCCGTGATTCTTAATGAATCATGAGTCCTCCAGGTATTTGGATTGGAGAATGATCTCTTGTCTGACTTGATATCCTGGAAGTTCTATATAAAAGTAAAAGCAAAAGTTAACAACATGTCATTTTAATGATTTTACAAATGAGTTTTTTCCCTTTTCCATTTTTCTCCATCTTTTTTTTTTTCCTCCATCTTCCATTTTCTAATGGATTCTATGCCTGGAGAGAAAACTATAGTCAAGTTTGTGAATGCAAAGTACCAATAATGGAATATCTTATGGTCTTTCTAAGAAGTATCATGCCTTTAACTGTGATTTCCAAGGAATCATTTTTTCAAGAATCTTTTAAATTACATTTAAGTTTTAAATTATTTAAGACTTATTTTATTTAATGTTTAAGATTTATTATTTATTTATTTATTTTAGAAAGAGTGGGGTGGGGGAAGGGCAGAGGGAGAGGGCTAAGGAGAGAAGCAGTATCCCCACTGAGCACAGAATCTAAGTCAGGCTTGATTTTATGACCCTGAGATTATGACCTAAGCTGAAATCAAGAGTCAGATGCTTAACTGACTGGACTCCCCCAGGTGCCCAGGTGCCTCAATATTTAAGTTTTAAATTATTGGTTTCCCGCAAATTTCTCTGAAGATTTAGGGTTGTTTTAATTTTGCATACCATGAAACAAATGTAAAGATGTTAAGTTGTATTACAGAAAGTCATTCTCATGGATTAAGCCTGACCACCAGGCGAGTGAACAATGCCTGAAGTCGCAAGTGGTCTTCTTTCATTGAGGTGCCAGTCATTCCCATATGTAGGGTAACATGGGTTTTGTTGATACTGATGATTTTGTTTTGTTCTTTCCATGATGGCTTGTGCTTTTGTCATTTACTTAACCATAGATCATTTACTTTCTGGATCTTTCAGATCATGGGTAAGTGTTCATTTTAAATTGTATAGAAAATAATTTGTAACTACATGTGCTATACTTAATAGTATGAATGAATTACCTTAAAGTACATGTTAAAGTAAAATCAAAATTTTTGTCTAAAACACCCACATTATCATTCATTAAAGGGATAGGCCTTTCTATGTAGATGAGAAAGGAGATGAACTTACACCAGATACACAGGGAATTTTGAAAGGCAACACCTTAGTTATCTGTAGTACAAAAGTAATCTGTAAAAACCCATTGGCCTATGTGGTAGATATGAACTTTATACAGTATGTGTGCCTAAGAAATAAAGATTCAGAACTATTAAAATAAGATTTTGCTAGACTAGAAAACCATCTGTGCCTGTCTAAAATGATACGTCTATGATGGAATATGTAGGCAGATCCAGTAACTGAACAGTGCTCTCAAATGTTTTAAATCAAAGTCAAGTTTAATAAATTCCAATGCTATTTCTGCCTCAAAACTGATGCTGATTATTTAGCCTTTAAATTGTATCTTAAAACCCAAGAAACATATTCTCTTACACATTCAGCTTTTAAGGCCTTGGAGAAAAGCAGTTGTTTGGATACTGGTGTTGGTGAGCACCAAATTAAGTGCTCAGTGGGATGGAATCTACCATGTAGAAATGTAGATATTGCATTTAAAAATAAATACATTTGAATATCTATAGGCAGAGTGTGTACTCATCAAGTGCCTGACCTCTTAGTATCGCCATACACTTCCCGACTTAAGTCTTTCATTTTATTTGCTTGGTTGTCAAGGTCTCAAAGTGAGAGATTTCTGGAGGACCAATGAGTGTACATGCATTGGGTAGTATACTGAGTCCTCCTCTGTGAATACCGTAAGAGAAATGTTTATTGCCAGTGCTCTACTCTAGTCCTAATCTTACTGATGAATATATTTTATGTGTGTGTACATATATATATGTATGTGTGTATGTAAACATAAATATTTCTTCATTGTACAATAAAAGTGTACATAACTATACACACATGTATGATGAATAAGAAAATGAACATCATTGTTTTATAAAGATGAGGATTTTTTAAATGAAAAGTAAGCAAATGCACATAAAATGCATTTTATATCTATTTGTCAATGTTAAAAAAGTAGAAAAATTTTAGGCCCTGGATATTTAGAAATCTAGAGATTGATATATCTGTAACATAAGTCTCACATGTCTGCTGGAGCATTACTGCATACCAGGCAATGAGGGCAGCCAAGAAAAAAGATTTGGAAAGAGTGAATTAATGTCAGGAAACAGTAATAAGTCTTTCTAAGGGTACCCTTTGAGGCCTCATTAAACATCTCTTTTAATAGTTATGTATTAAAACATGAATAAAGTTTATTAGCATATATTAAAGAGGAAATCTTCAGATAAACATAAACTGTATGAAGTCCACAACAGCTCCGTTATGCAAGCTGATCAATCCTGCAAATGATGTGAATAAGGAATGCAGCAGAGTTGAACTTGGATTTTGTAGGAACACCAGGGGAAAGATTGATAACAGTTTAATTGGGGGGAACAATGCACATGTGCTTGTAAAATGCAACACACACAAAAAAACCCCTCCCTGATCACATTTCTCTTGCATCTGAAGACTCAGAGTAATGTTTCCTTGGACCTATCCCACATTAAAAAATGATTTAGTATGTCTTAACAGAGAAGCTTTCATTCTCAGGCCCTTTGTAAGGTCTGCCATAGTGAAATGTGCTCTAACCAGCTGATTGTGGTCTAGCCCTTCCCTTCTGAGTTGTATCCAGTTACCTCAGCTTGAGCATAACCAGGAGAAGGATTCCACAGGTGACTGTCATGCACATGACAGCATAGATTACTTCTCCTAGAAACAAAAGATTAAAAAGAAATTACTAGATTTTTAGAGAAAATAAGTAGTAAAAATAAAAGACAGATTTTTAACTGACCGTTGAAGGGGGAATGAAATCCACTTAGAGTTATCTCCTTTGCATGTGTTCTTTTATGCAATGCCATACCTTTGACATTAGACAGGGTTGGATAATCTGAAAGAAAATAATGAAAATGAGATTACAGTATTTAAAAGCCATGTGTTACTTCTTTCTATGGGTTATAATTTGTTTTATATTACAAGGCAAAGATTTATTTCTGATATTATCTTAATAAAATCTGATAGATGAGGATGAAAGTGGGAGTACTTTCCTTACATTTTAAGGTTTTTTTTTCCCCACCTTTTAATCAGAAAATTTTTTACAGATACTGTTTTGTTTTGTTTGTTTGTTTTTTTCCAAATCATGATTAGGAAAGTATACTACACTTTATGACAGCAACTGTACCTTATCAATAGACGAAGGAGAAAAAAAATCAGCAACTTGAAGCTACCCATTGTGATATTGAAAAGATTCCTTTTTTTTTTAACAGGAGTAATTGTTTTAATGTGCTTTTAATGATATCTCATTTCTCTAAGGCGCTCTGTATTTATGAATTCTTATGGAGTCCCTAAAGCAATCACTCTGTTCACCCCTCCACTTAGATTTCAACATCTAGCTTCCTTTTTTCCCTATTCTGTCTCTTGTAAATCCCCTCTCTTTCTATTGTCATGTACTAGTTTTGTCACATTTATGGGAAAGCCACTCCGTGGCCCTAGCCTTCGTGGCAACATTTTGCTAAACACAATTTTACCTCATTTCACAACTCATAAGACAAAAAGATGGTATCCTTAAAATTAACAAATCCATTTTAGGTGACTTCCACTGATAATTTTGAAGTGAAATCACCCCTAGTTTTGACTTAGTTCAACACAGATATGAATGTTAAATATACCAATAGCCCAATAAAAATTGTCTTTGATGATGAAGATTCAGGTAGGATTTGAATCTTTAGAAAAGGGCGGGGGAGATGAGATAAACCTTCCCCTTGGGAGATTTGCTGTCCAATCTGATTGTTTCATGTACTTTGAGACCTCGAAGTCTGAGTAGACTGTTGTTTGTAGAAATGAGTGCATCAATAGTGGAATAATATATCCGATGACAATTTGTGACAAGAAGCTCTGAGTAGGAAGGGAGATGGGAAGACATATTACCAATAGTTCCATTCAGTCCTCTCTCCACCAAGAGCTGCTACTGTACAGAAGCCAGCTGCTTGGAAGCCAAGATTTGAGGTCTAAGTTAGGAATAATCAGCAGAAAACACAGGAGACAGACTTCAAATCAGTAACAGAGCTCTCAGTATGGGTCCAAGAGAAGGAGCCCAACATAGGAGGTGGAAAAGTGAGGATTTTGTTATTAGAAAACTCCATTTTTGAGGAGTCTGACCTCTAATACACTGAAGATGTTTTAGTTCAAGATTTTTTAATCCCCAATTTACATATTGGGTTTTCATATAATTATTGAAGTCTGGCTTTCTTAGAAACTGAAAAATAAATGTCTTCTAAATGTGAAAGTAATAGAGTGTGTGATTTTTTTTCAATTTTGTGATTATAAAATATATTTTGTTATTCACCATAGAGGTGGAATGGGAAAATTCAGCTATTTCAAGTAATACCATTTTTATACTCTAGTGGTTCCTTCTTTTTGGAAGAATTAATTTTAATCAAATTGATCTTACAGATTTTAGTGAAACAAGTTATATTAAAATTTTATATTCAAATCACTTCAGAATATGAAAGATAGTTTTACTTTTAAAAAATTCTATAGGATTTTAGAATGTTTTAAAAATTCTTTTAAATTTAAAATTCTATGACATTTTGAGGCAGATTCACGGCTCACATGGAAATGTATGTAATGTGGGTTGGCTAATTGTTTGAATGATGCTATAGTTTTCCTTTATGAAATTCTACCCCTAAGTACATTTGGTCTAGTTAGGTACCATGACTCATCTTTGCATAAGAAAAAAGGTTACTATTTTGACAAATTAGACTGCCTTTTAAATATATCTGCCTAAAGTAATTGTTAAATGTTCACCTTGAAAGTTTAGAAAGAATCGTCTCATTCACTAAATTTCACTCACATGGAACTCATTAACAAAGTTATAATAGATCAATGACAGAAATGTTAGCTAATGATCCCAGTGAAAATTTTAATGTGTCTAGCAATCACTCCACAATCTTAAATATTGCACCCTAGGAGGATACCGAATATCAGTTAGAGAGATTAATGTTTCAGAGGGTTTCTTGGCTACTGAAGCCCATTGGAGATTCTTCCTGCCTTTTATAAACAGTGAGGTTTACAGTGTTTTATAACCATGAAATTAAAGTCGGCAGAGTTAATAACCAACCTCAGTCCCACACCATCTGCTATATTTATAGATAAACACTGTCAGTGACTTGTTTATCTTAACTTGTACCCTAGAGGAGTTAAGCAGTATTATGAACTATATTGTAAAATCCCTGTACATTTGACAGGAAATCAAGATTAATTTCAGCCCTATGTTAAGAACAAATTTAAATAGTGTTCTCCCCAAATGGCTATAGAGATGTGATCTTTTTTTTTTCTTCCAAATCCTTGTGTAGCAGTGGCTGAGAGCTGATGGGATCTAAAACTTTACTTTCTATAATTTATATGAAATGGTAAATGCATCATTAAGATATGATAGATCAGACACAAAATAATGATTTAAAAAATGTCAGAATAGTCGAAATAGAAATTAAATATATTACAAAATGCAAATATGTAAACCTTCAATTAAAATTCTAGTTACATATACAAATCAGCATAGAAGAAAAATCTTGACAAAGTGAACATTTTCATAGAATACTTAAATATATTTTGTAGCTTTTTAAAAAAATAGTTAAGTGTTATTGGCTTCTTTTATTTTTAAGTAAAAGACCTCCAATACCATGGTAATATCTTAGTGAGAATGAAAATTTAAGGATGACCTTCTTGCATATCCAAGGTTGGAGCTATTTCTAATTTGGTCAGTATTTCAACACGGTCATCTGAAGGTATTTCAATTCCCAAATTGGAAATGAGTTTTGAATTTTTTCCCCTAACAATAGTGAGGTAGTGAGATTCCATGTATTATGGACTCTTTCTATGATTGGTGTATAAAACCCTGCTTCCAAAATGAATCTAAAAGGCATTGCAGCTGGGAAGAAAGAAAAATATATAAACACCTGTAAGTTCGAAAAAAACCCAACACATTAGTAACAAGATAAACTAAGGTATTAAACACATACAATGACAGTATAACATCACTGCAGCTAAAATATATGTTGTAAAAAATAAACCAACCAAATAATATACTTGTCCTAAATAATAACATGCACCAACATGGCACATTAATTTATTTAGTTGATAAACTTCAAAAAGATGAAGCAATGTCTTAGATTTATCTTCTAGCACTATGTGTGACTAAACACATGGTTGCCAGGAGCTAGGGAGAAAAGGAAACTTAGAGAGAGAGAGATTGATGGGTTTTAATGAACTACCTTATATGATTGTGGAGGCTTTCAGTTTCTGGTAAGTTCAAAACTTCAGGGTAGGTGGGGAGGCTGGAGACCCAGGGGAGAGCTACAGTTTCATCCCAAGGCAGTCTTTTGGCAGAATTTCTTCTTGCTTGGAGGAGGTTAAGTGTTTGTCTTGGTAAGACCTTCAACGGATTGGGTAGGACCCACCTCCTTTCTAAGAGGTGTCCTTCAAGGACTGCTCTTGGTATTTATTTTAACCACCATGATAATGTTAAACAGAGAGATGCTGAAAACATTAGTTTTTTTTGAAAGCCTCCGTTCTTCACTCCAGAAATGCCTATTGGTTTGCAAACTTCAGGAGTTCCCTGAGTGAAATCTGTAACTCGCTCCCCATACACAGAAAAAAAGAAAGCCTGAAGAAAGGCAGGCCACACCAGATTGGTAGATGGCTGTTTTAATAAGCAAGGGAACTTCTATGTGAGGCTTGTCCTGGGCAGTCATGAGATACTAACTTGGCATTCACCCAGCAGAATCTTAAAAGTTTATACAGAGGTCTTAAATAGGGTTCAGTCATATCTACAGTCTATACGGTCTCAACAACACATTGTTCCCTTAAGACAGTATTTTTGAAACAGCTTCCATAGCCAGAGCTATGGAGCAATGAGTAAAATGTACATTCCAAGAACAGGGGAGGGGGTAAGGAGCCTCCATTTTCCCTGGTACAGCTCACAGGTCAACCAGCAGTAATATCAGCATAATTGAAGGGTACAAAATTTCAGATGTGGAAAACAAATAAGTCCTAAAGACCTATCATGTACCATAATGCCTACTGTTTATATTTTACACTTAAACATTTTCTGAGAGGGAAGCTATTAAGTTAAATGTTCTTATCATACATAACAGTAATAAATAGAGGACAGGAAGAAACTTGTAGAGGTGATAGATATGTGTATGGTATAGACTGTGGTGAAGTGAGTTTCATGATGTATATCTATCTTCAAACTCATCAGGTTGTATCCATTAAATATGTACAGCTTTCAGGGCACCTGGCTGGTTCATTTGGTTGAGCGTATGCCTTCGGCTTGGGTCATGATCTGGGGGTCCTTGGATCGAGCCCCATGTTGGACTCCCCGCTTGGTTGGGAGTCTGCTTCTCCCCCTGCTTGTTTTCTCTCTCACTCTCTCTCTCTCTCTCTCGAATGAATAAATAAAATACAAAAAAAATATGTACAGCTTTCAGTATGTCAACAAAAACAAAACAAAACAAAACAAACACATGCTTAAATAAGTATGCAGTAGAGAACATTTGGTTTGATCTTTTGGCATGAACCAAAGAGCTCAGTGTTAGTAAATGACTGTATTGATAAACCTGGCAACTGCTGTTTGGCCCTTGGTTGAATAACAGTGTTGTTCAAAGATCTAGTAGATTTGCTTAGACATCATAATGAGTCTCAACTGTTGTACATTTTCCTTAATAGTTTCTGCAAATAATGAAGTAGCAACCAAGGTAACAATTAGACTGTAAATGATGCATTGCTAACAACCAACACTAGATTAGATGAATATACTATGATTTACATATGATAAATATACATAAATAAGCTATGATTGTTTTAAAAGGCAATAATTTTAAATCTTGG